CTATCCATACTTCTCTCTCGCAATTCAATTCAGGAGCTTTATTGGCATGGGAAACGTGTTTACATTGCCAAAGCAAGTGAAATAAACAATTACATAAATGCAAAACCTCAAAGTAATGTTGACCTTGACAGGAGAATCAAAGCCCTATGTCATAGCCATGACAGTGTTAATTTAGCTCATGATGAAAAATGGGATAGAGGATCTTTCAGCTATTTCTGACGTTATGCAAGAGGCCTGTCAACACTTCTCTCAGGTCTGAGGAAAAACCACTGAGATGCAGTCAGAGTGAAATCTGAGCCCTGAGAAAAGTGTGTGGGGAATCTACTGAATAGGAACTCAGAGTACACCAGGGATTCTCCATACTGCTAATCACTCTCTGATGTATCGACCCGACTGGTCCTGAAAGCATGTGTATGCGTGTGTGCGTGCATACATTCATGTGTGTGTGCTCGAGCTTGAGTGAGTGCCTATGTGGATACTACTGTACAGTAACCGCATGATATGCTGGCCTCTGCTGATCTGCTGTCCTTGTTCATAGCCTTTCGACACTTTCCCATAAAGAAGATAAGTCTTGCCAGGCTGAGGGAAGTCTATGGGTGAAGTGCCCTGATGTGATGAAGGGTTCTGATGTAAATGTGAAGGTGATGAACCGTAGGCAGGCTGAGAGGCTCTGAGAGCAGTCGTTTAGGAGTCAGAGGTCTGTGTGGACCAGGACATGGTGCTGCTGGGTCACAATATGGTGAGATCACTGAGGAAAAATAGGAAATGTGCCTAGTCAACAACATGAGGAGCAACAGGGGACAACGTTTTGACCTGGTGGTCTGACCTCAAACATTTGTTATATTTGAGAACTGAAAATGTTACTACATGTAGACTAGGCCTACATACTGTATCTGCCTCATCACCCCAATTGTGATTGAAGTTGTTCCCTTGATCTAGTCATGTGGAAAAGCTCTATTTAGTGGTAGATTAGCTAATGTCAATAAATCATTGAGTGAACAGAACTCATCACATCTAGAGTTAAACTCTGTATTTACTGTAATCAAATACCCTGGTCCATGTATAGTTACAACTTTATCAATAGGCTAAGAGCTAGTGTGCTCTTTAAAATAAAATTGACCAAATTCACCATAAAAGTATTTCACACTTGCACAATAGTCCGGCACAGTGGACACGTCATAATGCCAATAAAACCTAGTGGTAAAACCCAGTAATTATTTTAGAACTACTATACATATACTTCATATATGATGAATGTGTATGGCTATAATAACAACAACCAAAACCTTAAAAGGGTTATATCCTGCTGTCACGATCGTCATACATAGAGGAGGACCAAGGCGCAGCGTTGAAGGCGAACATATTTATTTATAGAATGATCACACGATCAAAACAACAAAACGATGACGTGACAGTCAATGGTAATACACAAACCAAATACGAACAAGAAACCACAATGAATGAGTGCCAAACGGCTACCTAAGTATGACTCCCAATCAGAGACAACGAGCTACAGCCGTCTCTGATTGGGAGCCACCCTGGCCAACATAGATCTACAAAACCAGAAAGTAAAACCTAGAACCCACATAGACAATACACACCCTGGCTCAACATATTAGAGTCCCCAGAGCCAGGGCGTGACAGTACCCCCCCCCCCCCTAAAGGCGCGGACTCCGACCGCGCCCACCAAACACCACAGGGGAGGGACCGGGTGGGCACTCCGCTTAGGCGGCGGATCCGGCTCCGGGCCTGATCCCCGCTCCCTCTCCAACCCCCCAAAGTACCCCTGGTCCGGTCTGGCCCCGCTGGCCGGAGCTGGACTGCACACTGGTGGAGCGGATTGCTCCAGCGTGAAGCATCTGACCGGTGCCGGACCAGCCACCGGTGGAACAGGCACGGGCCGTGCCGGACTGACGACGCACACGACTGGCTTGGTGTGGGGAGCAGGAGCGGGCCGAGCCGGGCTGTCGAAGCGCACCACTGAATTGGTGCAGGGAGCAGGAACGGGCCGAGCCGGGCTGACGAAGTGCACCACTGACTTGGTGCGGGGAGCAGGAACGGGCCGAGCCGGGCTGACGAAGCGCACCACTGACTTGGGGCGGGGAGCAGGAACGGGCCGAGCCGGGCTGACGAAGCGCACCACTGACTTGGTGCGGGGAGCAGGAACGGGCCGAGCCGGGCTGACGAAGCGCACCACTGACTTGGTGCGGGGAGCAGGAACAGGCCGGACCGTACTGGGGACACACACCACTGGTCCTACGCAGGGATCTGGAATGGGCCGGACCGGACTGGTAACACACCCCAGTACCTCTCGCCGTGCCTCTACACCTTCCACCCCCTCTTCGACCAGTGGCCCCCGTAACCTGGCGGCCTCCTCTGCCAATCCGCTGGGCCACTCTGCCGCGGTCTCCTGCTGGCCCGTCGTCCACGGCGTTAGCCCCCCCCTAAAAATGTTCTGGGCGTCTCTCCTACCCGTGGACCAGGTCTCCATGTCCCTCGCCAGCCTTTCTCCCTTCTGCCACAATGTCAAGCCCTTCTCTTCCTCACTCGGCTTGACCCAGTCGAGGAGGCGAAGGAGATCTGCTAGAGATCTCCCTGGCGATGGCTCCTGGACACGCTGCTTGGTCAAATCTTGGTGGTTTCTTCTGTCACGATCGTCATACATAGAGGAGGACCAAGGCGCAGCGTTGAAGGCGAACATATTTATTTATAGAATGATCACACGATCAAAACAACAAAACGATGACGTGACAGTCAATGGTAATACACAAACCAAATACGAACAAGAAACCACAATGAATGAGTGCCAAACGGCTACCTAAGTATGACTCCCAATCAGAGACAACGAGCTACAGCCGTCTCTGATTGGGAGCCACCCTGGCCAACATAGATCCACAAAACCAGAAAGTGAAACCTAGAACCCACATAGACAATACACACCCTGGCTCAACATATTAGAGTCCCCAGAGCCAGGGCGTGACACCTGCAGAGAATATAATTGTTGGGGGTGATTTCAACATGGCCCCAGATGAGTCAACTAATAGATATCCCCCCCCAGATATTATGTGCATCATTATAATAGTCTTATCTCCAACTTTTGTGAATCTTATGCATTAATGGATGTTTGAATAGTTCAGAACCCAGCTCTTAAGCAATTTTCATTGTTCAAACCCAATGGTCCCAGTAAATCAAGAATTGATTATTGGCTTATTTCAAATAATTTAGCCACTTATGTCTATAACACTTCAATTTCAGCTTCCCCTCTCACTGATCATTGTGTCATATCTCTAGATTTGAAACCTACAATTTATACATCTCTTAATAAGGGTTATTGGACATTTAATGCTTATCTTCTTAAGGATGAATCTTACTGTAAAGAGATTAGAAATATGATTGAGAAAATTCCAAACAACACCGAGTTATGCGTGTACAGAAGTAAATGGGAATATCTCACATTTAAGAAATGTTTTTTTTTAGTATTAAGGTTTGTCAGTGTAAAATACAGTCAGTGTTTGATTTGGTTAATGAGTAACAAGTCAGATTTGTCTGTTGATTACAAAAATAAGATACTAATTTTACAATCCAAATTGGATGATGTTTACATAAAGAAGGCCAACAGATCAAAGGCAAAGTGGACAGAAGAAGGAGAAACAAGCACTTACTTTAGCAGACATTAAAAAAGGCATCAGGAAAGGAATGCTATGAATTCATTGCATATTAATAGAATTGAAATGTCTGAACCAAAGTTGATTGCTACAGAAATGTGATATATTTATATTCCTCATCCTACTCCCCCAATAACTGCAATGATTTGTTTGAGAAAATTAAAAGCCATATTCCTACAATAGACTTAGAATTTAACGAGTTTTGTGAGGCAGAGCTTCAAATAGAGGAATTGGATATAGCTGTAAAGAAACTAGCCTTAGATAAATCGCCTGGCTGTGACGGCCTAACATCCAATTTTTACATTACATTACTGCCCAAACCTGGAAAAGACTAGATATATTGATAACCATAGACCTATAACTTTACTAAATAATGTTTATAAACTATTTTCACACGTCTTTACCAACACAATAAAATAAGGCATAACTCAGATTGTACAGTGGGGGAAAAAAGTATTTAGTCAGCCACCAATTGTGCAAGTTCTCCCACTTAAAAAGATGAGAGAGGCCTGTAATTTTCATCATAGGTACACGTCAACTATGACAGACAAAATGAGAAAAAAAAAATCCAGAAAATCACATTGTAGGATTTTTAATGAATTTATTTGCAAATTATGGTGGAAAATAAGTATTTGGTCAATAACAAAAGTTTCTCAATACTTTGTTATATACCCTTTGTTGGCAATGACACAGGTCAAACGTTTTCTGTAAGTCTTCACAAGGTTTTCACACACTGTTGCTGGTATTTTGGCCCATTCCTTGAAGAATAAATATATTTTGATTTGTTTAACACTTTTTTGGTTACTACATGATTCCATATGTGTCATTTCATAGTTTTGATGTCTTCACTATTATTCTACAATGTAAAAAATAGTAAAAATAAAGAAAAACCCTTGAATGAGTAGGTGTCCAAACTTTTGACTGGTAGTGTATGTATAATTGAATGTACAGTATACCGTATAAGACCTCTGTGACGTTTGTAAGTGTTTTATTTATTTCTATATATTTGTTATTTATTATGATTATATATATTTTTCTTATTTTTTCTTAAACCTGTGTGCTTGGTTATGTTCTTTACTAAATATGCATTTTGAATGTATAATTCAAGTTTCGTATATGTATGTACAATTTGAACAGTTTAATAAAAAATAATAAAAATAAAATAAAATATAAAATCATTTTTTTAAACTCTCGATCACGGCTGTGGTAGTGTCGCGGCAGTAGCGTCATTTATCAAATGTATATTTCAGCGTTTTTTTCCCTCTGGTCGTCGACTGTCTGTGACCCCACTGTTATCAACTGCACGTGAAGAACATCATCAAAGGGTTTGCTGCTATGTCTGAAAAAACGGAGGTTGATTTAACCGGAGCTAAGCAAAACACCGGCGTATGGCTAGTAAAGGTTTGTTTCCTAAAATGTATTTGAACGACAAGTCATATCCATACACATATTGGTCACACTTGTCAGTTTTGTTGAGGACCTAGCCTTTAGCTAGCTAAACTAACGTTACCATCTCTGCCCCGGTGTCTTTTTCACTTTTGTTTTACCTGATCAGGTTCCCAAGTACCTAGCGCAGCAGTGGGCCAAAGCGTCAGGAAAAGGAGAGGTTGGAAAGCTCAATATTGAAAAGTAAGAACTGGCCTTTAGCTATAACTCCAAATGTGTTCTTTACTGAAAACATGACGTATTTTCAGAGGGGTCCAACATTGCCCAAAATATAAATGTTTACTTCTGCAGTGGACATCATGCTCAATTGGGTAGTTGGTGATGTTGCATATAAATAGGCCGCAATGTCCTAGCTGACTAATCTCATCTCCATGGTGAAGGACGTTTCTGGTGGAGTTCATCAGAAACTTACATAACCATGGAGTTGAGTTTAGTCAGCTATCAATGTCCTAAATTCTGTAACATGTTTTTTCAGGAATCAGTTGTCTAATGAGAAAATGTGTGTAGCATTTGTTGTAGTTTCCTTTTTTTTGGTATGTTGTCCAATAGGAAACAAGGAAAAGCAGATGTAAGTCTGATACTTGCCACATGGTGTCACTGTAAACCCATACGCTGTTCCTCATCCTCTAATACCTCCAACTTTTGGAAGTATTCTAGAAAACAGTAGCTGTATTATTGGGTATAAGGTTAATTATTGGAAGTCATGTTTATAGATTCATAGAATATGATTAGTTGAATCAGACGTGTTACTGCTTGGTTGGAACAAAAGCCTGCACCCATGCTGAGATGTTAGCTGATCCATGGGTCTGTGGTGTGTCCCTCAGGTGTCGTTCACCCTGAATGAGGATCTGACCAGCCTGTCTGCACTTGGGGAGAAGGCAGCGTCGGTACGAGCCCCTGGGACCATCCAATGACCATGTGCAGTGTAGGGGGACAGACCCTGGCTGTGTTCACTGAAACCTCTGCAGGTAACAGACAACTGCCCTGCTCTAATACTGCTAAAACACCATGGAGGTATGGTTAATTTGAGTTGAGGCAATATGGTGCATTTGAGTTGATGAATCATAAATAATCAAGAAATGAAACTCCTTGAGATTAATCAGATTAGGGTGTCATGCTCAAGCAGTCTCTTTGACATGTTGTCATGGAGAAATTGAGATTCATCATCAAGACTTCTCATTTGGCTTATTTCACTTTACTTGTCTTGAAAATCTGTAGCTGAAATGTCAACAAAAGCCTATTTTATACTCTCCTGATTGTGCCTTGCTCTATCGTGTACAGAGTTATTACGATTACTCTAACGCACTGATTTATTTTATTTATTTTACCAACTTAAAACAGCCTACTGTAGCACTTAACGCCTTCTCATGTGCATACATAGTGTCAGCACATGCACATGCACCCAAATGTACAAGTACACGCACCCACATACAGTGGGGAAAAAATGTATTTAGTCAGCCACCAATTGTGCTAGTTCTCCCACTTAAAAAGATGAGAGAGGCCTGTAATTTTCATCATAGGTACACGTCAACTATGACAGACAAAATGAGAAATAAAAATCCAGAAAATCACATTGTAGGATTATTAATGAATTTATTTGCAAATTATGGTGGAAAATAAGTATTTGGTCAATAACAAAAGTTTCTCAATACTTTGTTATATACCCTTTGTTGGCAATGACACAGGTCAAACGTTTTCTGTAAGTCTTCACAAGGTTTTCACACACTGTTGCTGGTATTTTGGCCCATTCCTCCATGCAGATCTCCTCTAGAGTAGTGATGTTTTGGGGCTGTCGCTGGGCGACACAGACTTTCAACTCCCTCCAAAGATTTTCTATGGGGTTGAGATCTGGAGACTGGCTAGGCCACTCCAGGACCTTGAAATGCTTCTTACGAAGCCACTCCTTCGTTGCCCGGGCGGTGTGTTTGGGATCATTGTCATGCTGAAAGACCCAGCCACGTTTCATCTTCAATGCCCTTGCTGATGGAAGGAGGTTTTCACTCAAAATCTCACGATACATGGCCCCATTCATTCTTTCCTTCCTTTACACAGATCAGTCTTCCTGGTCCCTTTGCAGAAAAACAGCCCCAAAGCATGATGTTTCCACCCCCATGCTTCACAGTAGGTATGGTGTTCTTTGGATGCAACTCAGCATTCTTTGTCCTCCAAACACGACGAGTTGAGTTTTTACCAAAAAGTTCTATTTTGGTTTAATCTGACCATATGACATTCTCCCAATCCTCTTCTGGATCATCCAAATGCACTCTAGCAAACTTCAGACGGGCCTGGACATGTACTGGCTTAAGCAGGGGGACACGTCTGGCACTGCAGGATTTGAGTCCCTGGCGGCGTAGTGTGTTACTGATGGTAGGCTTTGTTACTTTGGTCCCAGCTCTCTGCAGGTCATTCACTAGGTCCCCCCGTGTGGTTCTGGGATTTTTGCTCACCGTTCTTGTGATCATTTTGACCCCACGGGGTGAGATCTTGCGTGGAGCCCCAGATCGAGGGAGATTATCAGTGGTCTTGTATGTCTTCCATTTCCTAATAATTGCTCCCACAGTTGATTTCTTCAAACCAAGCTGCTTACCTATTGCAGATTCAGTCTTCCCAGCCTGGTGCAGGTCTACAATTTTGTTTCTGGTGTCCTTTGACAGCTCTTTGGTCTTGGCCATAGTGGAGTTTGGAGTGTGACTGTTTGAGGTTGTGGACAGGTGTCTTTTATACTGATAACAAGTTCAAACAGGTGCCATTAATACAGGTAACGAGTGGAGGACAGAGGAGCCTCTTAAAGAAGAAGTTACAGGTCTGTGAGAGCCAGAAATCTTGCTTGTTTGTAGGTGACCAAATACTTATTTTCCACCATAATTTGCAAATAAATTCATTAAAAATCCTACAATGTGATCTTCTGGATTTTTTTTTCTCAATTTTTCTGTCGTAGTTGACGTGTACCTATGATGAAAATTACAGGCCTCTCTCATCTTTTTAAGTGGGAGAACATGCACAATTGGTGGCTGACTAAATACTTTTTCCCCCCACTGTACTGTACATGTATTTTAATGATCTGTTGAATGATTCTCAGAAAGACCACAGAGAGGGAACATCCATAGGCGGATATATATCGACACACACACACACAGTGCTAATTGCGTCTGTTAATGATGTCATTCCTACAGAAGCCATGCACGGAATATCAGTAGTAGTTGGTTCATGTAATTTCATGTGTGTTTTATTTTTTGTGTGTGTAGGGCCCAACTCTGGCATGCCGCAGGTATTGATTATGTGGTTGCTTAGCAACAGGCTTCGCTACAGAAGCAGTGAATGGCTCAGCTGTACTGTACTATTAGAAAGCCATTGCTTTCTCTCTCTCATCCCTCCTGCTCTCTCTCTTTCTCCCTCTATCTAATTTTCTCTGTCAACCCCCCATGCTCTCTTTTTCTCTGTCATCCCTCCTGTTCTCTCTCTCTTATCCCTCCTGCTCTCTCCCTCGCTCTCTCTCTTCTATGGGATGGGTTTTTCTCAGTAAGTTTATGAATTGAAATTGGTCAGGGGTGAAACTACATCCATCTTTTCCAGTAGTTTCAGAAGGTACGGTAAACAACAGAGAAGCCAGAACAGAGCATAGAGATTGACCTACAGATCATCTTTAATAACACCTCTCACTGTACTCTGCTATTACATTTACATTGACATTTTAGTCATTTAGCAGACGCTCTTATCCAGAGCGACTTACAGTTAGGTGAATACATATTTTTTTTTATACTGGCCCCCCGTGGGAATTACTGCAGACTCTGTCTTGAAGAAACCATACTGCATTACATACATCAGAAAGAGAAGTGTTCTGTAAATAACTCCAGCCCACCTGTTGTGGAGTGAATGAGTGATGCTGATATACACACACACAAGCTGTCTAGTGAGTGCATCTCTAATTGCTTTGAGTAAAGTTCAGCGCTAGCATTAGCAACGTCATCAAAATTGTTGCAACAGTTGGACAATGGATGAAGATGCTCCAGGGCCTCCCGAGTGGCGCAGCGTTCTAAGGCACTGCATCGCAGTGCTAGAGGCGTCACTACAGACCCGAGTCAATCCCAGGCTGCGTGGCTCTCGATCTTCGCCTCTCCCGAATCCGAACGGGAGTTGCAATGATGAGACGACTGTATCTACCAATTTGATATCACAAAACACAAAAATAAAAAAAGATACTCCAAATGTTTCAAATGTTTATAATCCATCGGATATTGACTGAATTATAGCACATAAAACATTTTATTGGCACGGACAAATAATGAGTTCAGGGATTTTGGTGGAAATTCAGGTATTCAATTTATTGTAAAATGTCACTTTTCTTAGAATGCGGTCGTATATATATTTTCTTATTGTATCAGGTATATATTTTTTTATGTTACAATAAAGAAAATAGATGTACCTAATTTGCATAAATACATCAGGGTTATTTCCATATATGAATTCCATATATCAAGACCTCCACATCCGGCTTCTTCACCTGCGGGATTATCTGAGACCAGCCACCCGGACAGCTGATGAAACTGTGGGTTTGCCAACAGAAGAATTTCTCCACAAACTGTCAGAAACTGTCTCAGGGAAGCTCATCTGTGTCCTCATCGTCCTCACCAGGGTCTTGACCTGGCTGCAGTTTGGCGTCGTAACTGACTTCAGTGGGCAAATTCTGACCTTTGATTGCCACTGGCACACTGGTGAAGTGTGCTCTTCACGGATGAATCCCGGTTTCAACTGTACCGGGCAGATGGCAGACAGCGTTTATGGCGTCTTGTGGGTGAGCGGTTTGCTGATGTCAAAGTTGTGAACAGAGTGCCCCATGGTGGCAGTGGGGTTGAGCAGGCATAAGCTACGGACAACGAACACAATTGCATTTTATCGATGGCAATTTGAATGCACAGAGATACCGTGACGAGATCCTGAGGCCCATTGTTGTGCCATTCATCCGCCGCCATCACCTCGTGTTACAGCATGATAATGCACAGCCCCATGTCACAAGGATCTGTACACAATTCCTGGAAGCTGAACATTTCCCAGTTCTTCCATGGCCTGCATACTCACCAGACATGTCACCCATTGAGCATGTTTGGGATGCTCTGGATCGACATGTACGACAGCGTGTTCCAGTTCCCGCCAATATCCAGCAACTTCACACAGCCATTGAAGAGGAGTGAGACAACAATCAACTGCCTGATCAACTATGCGAAGGAGATGTGTCGCACTGCATGAGGCAAATGGTGGTCACACCAGATACTGACTGGTTTTCTGATCCTCGCCCCTACTTTTTTTTAAAAAGGTATCTGTAGCCAACAGATGCGTATCTGTATTCTCAGTCATGTGAAATCCATAGATTAGGGCCTAATGAATGTGTTTCAATTGACTGATTTCCTTATATGAACTGTAACTTAGTAAAATATTTAAAATTGTTGCATGTGCATTTTATATTTTTGTTCAGTGTAGTATTCTAATTCCTAATTCCTGGATCAAGGTCCCTGTTTTGTGCGTCCTAAAAGATAAATATATACAACATTAAATAGTTCACGTTGTACATCCGGTAATACTGTATACCCCGGTATGGTACAGAAATGGTATGAAAATCTGGATACCGCTGAACCCTACTTTACATTGTTTGTGAGATCAGACATAATATCACTATAATCTGAGTGTTCATTTTCGGACGTTGCTTTAATTTTAACGCATTTATTTTGTAAACATTTCAACTGTACTAAATTATTACTATTTTCAATTGCACAAAAAATTAACACCCATCAAAAAAAGTTAGCTTTCTTGTGATGTAAGTGTTGAGACGGTGCGCGTTAAATCCCAGATGAAGCTTTAGCGATCTTATAGATACAACGGAAAGACAATGTATTCCATTGAGCCCATTTCAGCCATTACC